TGCAGCCTAGCTCAGAAAATTGTTATTGAATATGTCAATGCTGATGTAATCAAATGTTTCTTCTAAGTATGTGGTTATTAAATAAATAATTTAAGAAAAAGATCAAAAAGAAAAAAAATTTTCATAATGAAAATGTGTTCTTCATATAATTCAGCAGTGATAAATTAAATGAATAGAAAATAACAGAATCTAATCCATATTCTAGATTTATAAGTAAGTGTGTACTGTATAATAGAGAAAGGAATAAATGAATAAAATGAGCATAGATGATTTTCAAATAACAGGACTATTATAAAATTGAAATGAATAAATTTTTCTTTGAAAAGATGATTGATTATGACAGAAAAGTAATGATGATGGATAGCTCATCATGCAGTTTTTAAAGAGATATCATAATTTAAAAGCTTTATATTTAATTTTAACAATAATTTGATGAATATCATTTGAAAAATCCAAACCAGGTCTTTATACCTAGGAATGTGATTAAGAAGGTTAAACATAGTAAAGGTGTATTTTTAACATGGTTTTCCACTACATTTTTAACATGAAAATTTTGTGTTCTAACATCTCCATATTTTCCTCACTGTGCACATTGTTTTTTGGTTTTTGTTATTTTATTTTGTTAGTCCAAATTTAGAATGCCAAAGAACTCACTCTTTTCTTATTTTCTTTTTTGTTTGTTTGTTACATGATCAGGGTTTTTCTTTTTTCTTTTATTGTAAATCATTTTATTTTTCTATTGTGTAAAAGTCATCTTAATTATTCAATGAAGAAATACATATTTCATTTCGACTAAACTTCTTTTTTTCTGTTCCCCAAAATGACCAGGGCTTTATTTTTTGACAGATTTCCTTGAAAAGTACTATAGAAATGATTTATCCAAGTACCTCATTAACTTAGATACTTTATTTTATACTTTTGGTTACATAGGAAGATTCTGAAATGTCACGCTGAACCTCAGGGGTAAGATGAGATGAAGGGCCTCACTTCTTTGAAGTCCATTTACTACATACTGCTCTTATGGAGAAGCAAAATGCAGATAGTCCAAGAGCAAAATCCACCTTAGATTTCTTGATGGAGGCATGTAGATGCTCTTTGATTGCATTTCAAAAGACATGGACTCCGTGCTATGACAGCAGATCTGGGGTGCTCAATGGATTGTCAGTGGCCATATCACTAATTTCAAAGTGCCTGCCATATATAGCCACATCTTACAGTGAAATCTCAGTGATTCTAAAAGTCACCAGGAAGTGTTAGAAATTTTGCACTTGTCATGGGATGGTCTGATTAACCAAATCAGGAGCCCAAGAAGGGTATGTGTAGAGGTCAAACATGGGTTCGATCCAGGTGAACATGCCAAGCATCACCACAGCAACACCCAAAATATTTACACCAAGTCCAGCTTTCACCTTGAACAGGAAAGAAGATAAATGTCAGTCTCCCAAAGAGAAATCTTACTGAACAAACAAAATACTTGCACACAAGGCATAAGACTGAATTATATGCACTCTAAATGACTGGTATATGTTGTGTTTGTTATAAAGCCAGGGGTTCTTCTTCCATTTGTGTCAAATGAGAATTTGTCCCTAAATAAATAAGATTTTGATAGTATCAGAGAGGTTTCCCATTGGAATATACATAAGTCATTCTAATGAAAGACAAAGCTCCTTAAAAATCTGCCCTTGTATATTAAATTAGGATTTGAGTTTCCTGGTCTTGTATTTCGATATATATGCTTCAGAACACCATATGATAACTAGATTCCTTAAGTTCACTCAACGTTAGTATTAGTTTCTTATGAAGTATTCTTTAATTGAAACTTCATAATGCTACCTCTATTAGTGTTCCTATTTTTTATATCATGGGTTTCATATCATAATTCTGGTGTCCATTAAACAATCTCAAAGTTCTTTTCTACACATCAGAGATTGTCAAACTTCTGCCTTTGTCCTGTTTTTGCTACTACAAGTTTCCTTTTATGGACTACAACCTTACTCATTCGTTTATATATTACTCTTGGCTGTTTATATGATATAATAGTGGAGGTGGGTATTTGTGACAGACACCTTGTACCTTACAGAGCCTGAAATATATCTGTCCCTTTGCACAAAATGTTTGCAGCTTCCTGAATTCTCTGCATTAAAACAGGACCTTCTAAAATAAAAGGGAAAGATTTAGCAATGACTAAATGACTATTATGAGGTCCTCTTCTCTCTCCATGAAATCCACTTATTTATTCCATGTCTCGTGTGTGTGTGTAATTGCATATTTTATATTAAACACATTCTATTTATCAATGTTGCATGACTTGAGCATATAAATATTTCCAAAAGTTTTATGTTGCTGGGATTCAGAGATAGCAACCTGGTAGAAAGAAGAAATTGGACAGGATTAACCTTAAAACTCCATTTGTGTAGCAAACTCATTGAATTTACTTTGATTATATTCTTATTTGGTTTAGTTTGGAAATTTTTAATGAAGAGTAAGGAAAGACTAGAATATTCTTAGCTAGGCATGGTGGTGCATGCCTTTAATCCCTGCACCTGGTAGGCAAAGGCAGGTGGATCTCTGAATTCTAGGCCAGCCTGCTCTACAGATCGAGTTCCAGATCAGCCGGGCTTAGATTACTAGACTACCTTCATTTCTCAACTACCACTGCTTGTATTTAGAAAAAAAGTATGCTGTTTCACCTAAATTTGCCTTTATTTCTCGCTGATTCTGATATTAAAGGCAGAGTAAGAAAGCTGCTTTTTCCTTACGCCCTGAGCCCAATGTCTTGATGAGAGCAAATGGTGTTGCAGAGATATTTGTTATAGCAAACCATAGAGTTGCTTGATTGATGGATTCATTAGCCCTGCTTCTATTCAGCTCAGTTAGGTTGAATCCTAATCTTGACAATGTAAGTTTAAGCTGCTATGTAGAGTAATTCTGTGCTCTTCTTTTCTAGGACCAGTGCTTATACATCCAGTTTCTCTATTTGTGACTATAAAGTCTAATGGAATGTTCACATCTTAAAAATAATCCCATGACCAGTCATGCATGCACTTTTAGAAACAGAGCTCAGACTCCAATATTCCTGATGGTTGATTTTAAGGGTAGAGCTTATTCAGTTATGACACAGAGGGAAGTATTGGAGTGTCATAGTATTCTTTTAGCTAACTCACCATGTCAATGACTTTCAGGTGTCCATATGAAAAAACAATAGCATTGGGTGGATTTGCAACGGGCAGAAGGAATGCGAAGGAAGTACACAGGGTAGAAGGCAGCAGGATATGAAGAGGGTTCACGTGAATGGCTTCAGCCTATTATAAAAGATAAAGAGGAGCTAAAGTCAAACTTTAAGGGTAGGCTCCAAACACGGAAATTAATTATTATGATACACTTTTTCAGAATCCAGTTAAAACCTAGTGACATAAAAATTATGCACAATTTATAACTTTAAGCATAGTTGAATGTGTCTCTTATTTATATGGTGATTGTTACCCATTTAAACCTTATAGTACAGTTCATTTGCAAAAAAAAAAGTATCATTTATTCTAGAAACTGCATAAAAACAGAACTTCTTTATTATATAATTAGTCCTAGGTTCTGTGCTTCTTATATATCCATGTATTTACACATATTACATAATAAATAGATATATATGTTAAAATTTTGCAATAGTATATAAGATGGCTACCATATCCCAAAATAACAGATGAGGACACTGAGACCAGAGGCACTTAAAAAACTTGCTCAAGCATGCTCCTGTTGAGCAGGAAAGCATAGGGAAGGCCCCGGGTACCTGTGGCTCCAGAAAGTAATTGTACCACTAACCCTATTGCTTTGTGCTATTTTTAAAATTTCTTTAGTGATCATTACAGAAGAAGAGTTGTCACATCATTTTCTAACTGAAATTTCAGGAAATAAAAAATAAAAGCAGAGAAAGCCAAAATGATACTTAGCCAGTGATTTTCTGCCAATAATCAATTCATAGTATCTTTGGTAATTTGAAGCAGCTGAATCACAAGAATTTCAGAAAATACCCTTTAAGAAGTGTAGCAAAACAACATCAGAGACATTCCTTCTTGTTGTTTTTTTACTTAAGATACTTCTTTTTATTTCATTTATTATTTTTATTTTAGGTGTATTATTGTATTTCTTGCATGTAAGTGTACCCATGTTGTGCAATGTCCATGGAGGTCAGAAGAGGGTGTTGGACTCCCCTAAAACTGACGTTACGGGTGGCTGTTAGCAGCCATGTGGATGCTGGGAGTTGAACCCAGGTCCTCTGCAAGAGCAGCCAGTACTCTGAACCACTGAGCTATCTCTCTAGTCCCTTAAGATAATTCTCAAAGTGCTTCCTTTCATCAAAATAACCTACCTGATTCTGAGAAACATTACACTTAATGCTATTTCTTGTAATTTCCAGCTAGTAGATAAGAAGAAGCAAGACAACCCTCCCCCTTATTAAATGTGCTTCAGGGTCAGGGCTAGCTTCTAATTCATCTGCTTATCACTTATAGGAAGCTGTTCCCTGTTCTGGAAGGAGAAGTGTCAGAGTTAAGATCTGGGCACTAAAGAATCATCTTCCAGCTGACATGGATCTAGAATGATTGTGTTTATTTGCAAATGAAAAACAAAACAAAATAACAACTTGGACAGAGAGAGGGTAAATTGTTTGCTAAAGATGATGATAACTGATTGTGGAAAATGGTTTCCTTGAATGAAGGTTGCTTAAGAAAGCGTTAATACAAGTAAGAACCACAGAAATTGCTGTACACCACAGGATGAGAGCTTTGAGCTCAAAGCCCAAAGAAGTGAAATGAAGAGCTCACAAAGGAGACACAGGAGATACTCACCAATGGAGACAATATTGGGAAAAGGATCGTGATGGTAGCAGGATTGCTGGCTACCTCTGTCAAAGATGTCACCATCAAAGAGGATATCAGGATTATTAGCCAAACTGGTAATGAACCTAAAGGGGACAGTTTACTGCCTATCCAGCCAGACAGTCCTGATTCCTAAAAAACAAATGAACAATATTTATTATTTACTAATAAATCATTTTAACCAAACACATGCAAGCACAGGAAAAAAAATCATGATTCATTGGAGTTACTCTCTGAAATATAATTTCCCATATCCTTGTGGCTTAGTAACTGGGTAGTTTTGATGTGGAAGAACTATCTGAATTATTTCAGCATCATGGACACACTTTAAGAAGCTTGAATTGCCTCCCCATTCTTTTTTCAGTTAAGCTTTACTTTGATGGAATTAGCATATGTGAATGTTTTAACCAGCCAGGTAAGACTTTAGGACTTTAGGAAAAGAGCAACCTTTCTAAAGATTTACTTCTCTCCACTCCTAGGTTGTATCCCCAAGACAAGACTTTCCAACTCTTAGTAGCCATATACTGAGATATGGGTATTAGTATAGTTATCTTTCAAAATAATATTCTAATTATACTTTTCTTAAATTTTCAATTTGAGATATTATTTATTTTCCAATATGCTGGACAAGGATTTAGGTTTCTTACATCATCCACTCATATGGCAAACTTTTGGTTAAATCAATATGATATGCCACTGTGATGATTATATAGATATTCATTGCTGAATCACTGAGCATTCTAAGATTATATTTGCTCTCATTGTTTAATTTTCTTTGTTTTTCCAAGAAAATATTATTTTGTTTATTTAGATTTCTAAGTACCTATCAATAATTCATGACACTCTCTAAAAAAATCTGGTGACATTGCCAGAAAATAGACAAACACATGAAATAAATGGGTTCATTTTGTGCATGTTGCTAAAAATGTCTGCCCTCCTCCTGATACATCTGGACTTAGATGTTCTTTAAATCTAGTTAACTGTTTCTGTGGACCCCTTTTTTGTTATTCTGAATTCTCTTTATGGGACTCCTTCATTTACTCCACTCATTTGGAGGAACACATCCTTTCATAACTTGCTGTGACAGTTGGTGGAGAATTGTTGGGGGTGTTTGTAGATCTGAAAAATCATTTTATTTTTCTCTTCACACTACTTTGCTAAATCAGCATCTCTGGAATTCTCGATTTGAAATCAGTGAAATTGCTCAGCAATTTTAAGGCATTGGTTATTTCCTGTTAGTTCTTTAGGCTGATCACATACTGATCTTTGATTCTTTCTTTACATGCAGTCCACAAAAACTGGCTGCACCCAGATGACAGGTATGTTATTCTGTTTTTTTGTAAGATGATGTCAATAAAATACCTCATGTAATTATTTTATGTATGACAAACTAGAAATGGCATCAAAAGAAACTTTGATTATAAGTAGTAAACTCTCATTTCAAAAGTTAATATCAACATCACAGACATAAGTACCAGATATTATTAGTGATATTTGTTATTTTGATATATATAGTTTATTTTTCATATGTATGTATGTGAGTGGTGTATGTGTATTTACATGTGTGTAGTGACATGCCCATGCATGTGTGTGTATGTGTAAGTAGGCCTGAGGTTGATTTTCAATAGCTTTCCAGATTATATGTTGAGGCAAGTTCTCTCAGTTGAACCCAGAACTTGCCATTATGGCTAATCTAACTAGCCAGCTTGTGCTATGGATCCCCTAGCTTGAACTGCAGGCAGGCTGCCACACTCACCAGGCATTTACACAGATTCTCAGATCTGAACTCTGATTCTCACACTTGTACAGCAAGCACTTTATTCAGTGATCCATCTCCTCAGGCCTTGATTTACATGCATTTATATCCTGGTTATAGCAGTTAGAAGGGTAGGGACTATTTAAGGTATGGGGACACAGATTCATCCTAGACTATGAAAGGTTTTATTTCCGTCTGATTAGATGAGGAAGAATTGCACCATGCCTGCTATCCTTTCTGAAGGCCATTGTGATTCCCTCTCCATCCCAAGACTCTAAGATCTACAATAGAGAATCTCCACAATTTGTTGTAGATTTGGGGCGCTCTTTTTTTTTTTTCTTGTCACAACACTGATTGAAGTAAAACAACACAAGTTGCTACTTCACTCAAAAGCAGTTTTTACTTTGCCTCTTCTTGATGGTCACTAGCAAAAGGCCCATCGGGTCTTTAATCAAAAATCTTTAAGCAAAAGGCCCATAGGAGATTTAATTTCTAAGACATATCATCCTTTCTACTTTTTTCCTCTCTTTCTGAGCAAATTGTTAGGATTTATTTTTAATTAATGCTTTTAAAAGAGGGAAGATTGGGGTGCTCTTAAAAACTCTAAGAGCGTAGAAGCTCAAAGATTTAATGTCTTTTTCAAAAAAAATTTTATTATTTTTATTTTATGTATATGAGTGTATTGCCTGCAAGTATGTAAGTGCAGCAGTGTGCAGTGCTCACGGAGGCCAGAAAAGGGTGTCAGGTCTCCTGGAATTGGAGTTACAGTTTTTAACCACCATGTGGCTGCTGAGAACCAGACCTAGGTCCTTTGCAAGAGCAGCCAGTGCTCCCAACCGCTGAGTCATCTCTCCAGCCTCACAGAGATTTAATTTCTAAGACGTAACGTCCTTTCTGCTTTTTTCCTCTCTTTCTGAGCAGATTGTTAGGATATTTTTTTTAATTAATGCTCTAGTTTCCTTATCTCTTTTTAATGTTTACGTTTTATTTTATACTTTTGTTCTATTTCTGGGATATGTTCGAACTTCGTCTTTTAACATTG